TTGAGAATTCTCATATAAGCACTTGCTTGTTTAAGCCAATTTAATATTACAAATTAGCGATAACATTCAGCAGAAATATGCTACATCTAGAACATATATACATAGATATACATAAACATACAAACAGATCTCATAGCTTTCATTTTAAAACACTAGCTTTTATGTCCCAGGTATAATGTAGACTCAGAGGAAAAACTTGATCCAAATTATGTTTTTGGCAGATGGACTAATATAGGATTTTGCTCAGATGACCAAAGCTTTGCATGCCGTTAGACTTTCTTTAAAACTATTTTAAAATTAATTTATAATAAATCATAGAATGCATTTTATTTTCTCTGAGAGGCCTGAGATCCTCTCCTTAAAGGGTGCCCCTTAAGGTCAACAAACACAAACAACAAAATGAAAAGAGAATATGCACAATAAAGTTGGAAAGCTCAAAAGGTAAAAAGATTGGCTTCAGAACACCTGAACTTAAAAGTGGCAGATCTTCCTAGAGGAAGATGGAGCTGGGATGGAGCCTGAACACAAGATGGCAACTGCCACATGTCTGAAGATGAAGAAAATGGGGAAGGAGAAGCTTCAGACAGCATTTTACCCCTCAGTGGGAGCAAACAATAAAAAGGAGAGGGTTTTTTTTTTCCTTTTCATGATGGCCATAGCAAACAAAACATGAGATAAACACTAACTTGGAATTAAACCAGGGCCACAATGGTAAGAGCACCAAATTCTAACCACTAGACCACTAAGGAGGCATGGGTTAACCTCTGACCATATGTCTATCATAGGGATTTCTCTCTGGCCCCAGCAAAGTTCAAGTGAGTGAGGCCCAGATGCAGCCAGCTGCTTTTACTATGTACAATGGAGGAGTATGTTAAGTTCCTAGTCCTCTGGGGTGAGAGAGAGAGAGAGAGAGAGAGAGAGAGAGAGAGAGAGAGAGAGAGCGAGCGAGAGCGCGCATGCGAGCGAGCGAGAGCGCAGTGCCTCTCTTCTACAATGTCAGAAGGCTCTCACAAAGGAGTTCACCATGGTCATGCCACCCACCCTTCCTAAATACCACTACCACCACCATCACCAAAAGTATAAACAGAGCTCTAATTCAGGCATTTCCAATTATTTTCAGAAAAAATATAGCTATATCTGTCCACCCAAGGATATGTGATGTCAATTCCTCAAGAATCGATTTTAAAAGGTACACGGACATTTTGAGTTTATTGTCTATATGTCTTCTTTATATTCATTTATATCAACATTCATACAATTGTTGCCCAGTGCTTGAGAAACCAGGTTACCTAGCCCCTTCCCCTGTGTACCACCAGCTATTGAGTTAAGTGGTGGGGATAGTAACTTGTGTCCTAGAAATTAAACTTACAATTGTGCGTGCCAAGAGTATCTAGCATTCATTCAAATTATACAAAGAACAGGCTTCTGTACAATATCTATAGCGCTAATCTCTCCCATAGCTTATGATTCTATATGCAACTGCCTATTAGATATGTTAGGCATCTCGGAGGCCCACTGGCTTCCCAAAGTCACAACATCCACACAATCAAATTTACCTTTGTGCCTGTGGGGGATAAAAAAACAATACCTTTCCTCCCACCTTCTAAGTTGTTACTATGGGGCCAATAATCAAATTAACAGAGACTGGTTAACAGGAGAAAATCAAAAGTTAACACATGCTCATAGGGAGTTCACATATGCATGAAAATTCCAAAGACAGTGAGGCAACATTGGGTATATAGGACATTTTGGACAAAGGAGAAAGGGTGGAGTATTAGATTTCAAAAGTGAGAATGAACAATTTACAGGTAGTTGAGAAAGAGCGGAACATACCTGGCAAAAAAATTCTTGCTAGGCAACTCAGGAACAATGGGACATAGGATATCTAGCTAACAGGTGCCTGTCTGAAGCCCTCCTATTTACTTAATTCAAATTAGGCTAACAAGACCATCCAAAAGATTGCCTTCCTGAAACAGATTTTTCTGTCTGAATCTCTTGGGCAGGAAAGCGGGGAGGGTCAAGGGTTTTCTCTGAGGCTTTTGTTTCTTAATAAACCCCCTTAAAAAAATCAATATCCCAAAAGGCAAAACTTTTGGTCCCTTCATGCTCAACATGATCTTTCACATATTTCTCTCATTAAGTAGTGTCATCTTCTGGTTTAAGCTAGAAACCCTGAAATCATCCTTGAAACTTCTCTGTTCATTAATTCTCATATTCACTCCATCAGCAAGATATTTTTGGTTGTCACAATAGAGTATCCCACTAATATCTAGTGGGTACAGGCCATGGATACTGCAAAACATCTTAAAATGCACAGCAGAGTCCCCCACAACAAAGAATGATCCCTTCCAAAATGTTATTAGTACGAAGTTGAGAGACTAAGTTAATAATATTGTACTAATGCCAGTTTTCTGGTTTTGACAATGTGCTATTGTTACGTATAATATTGCCATAGGAGAAAGCTACATAAATGTCATGCAGGATCCCCACATACTACTTATCAACTTCTTGAAAGTCATAAGCTATTTGAAAATAAAAAGTTATAACAACAATAATAATAATGAAGATGAATTAAACTTTCCAATTACTCTCCATTGCACTTAAGATAAAACCCCAAATCTAACCATATTGTTCAAACCCAATTCCATCTCCACCATTTGCTGGCTGTGTGACCTTGATCAATTCAAACTGTCATTCAGAATATTCTCATTTGTAAAATAGAGATGATGCTACCGTAAAAAATATGTAACATGGTGTTCCTGAAGGCACTCTGTAAATTATTAACGTGTACAAATGTGGGGAGTTATTAACACTTTTTAGCCCTGGCTCTCACTTTTCCCCTACCTCATCCGAACCGAACTTAAGTATTTGCTGTCCCATATTTTTTATCCTTCTGTATAATCTTTTTAAGTGATCTGCCTAGACTGTCTCTCCCACTTTCAATTCCATCCAATGAATTTCTTTTTTATTAAAGGCTCACACACAAAGACAAACTGGTTATACAAATGGGAAAGAAATCCTAAATGTTCAGCATTTATTCAGCATTGGAGAAAATGATTGATTGAATTATGGTACCTGACTAGCAGTGTTTGTCATCAGTTCATTAATTCAATAAATATTTATTGAGTAGCTAATAAGTGCCAGGCACTGTATTTGACCCTGAAATACAACAATGGTTGTGGCTGGCAATGCATATTGTTTGAATGATTGAATGAAATAAAGAATGAAGGAACAACAATTGTGGCATAATAAGAAATATATTCAGCCTTTGTCCCTGGTTCCTAGCACAAAGCTCAAACCCTTGCAATTTCCTGAGTAATAGGAGTATCTTTTGTCATTCATGAGAAGCCCTTTTTGAGCTTAGATACTATGGAGGTGACTTGGGGTGGTGCCCCTACATAACCTCAGTATGGGGCTGGGCACCAGAAGGACCAAGTAATTAGAGAGTTGGAACTTTCAGGCTCCCTCACCTCAGAGAAGGGGAAGCAGGGACACTGAAGATGAAGCTCTAAAACAGCATAATTTTAAAAAAATTAAATTAAAAATAAACAAAACAATTTAACTGTCCATCAATGGATAAATGGATAAAGAAGACGTGGTACATATATACAATGGAATTTACTCAGTCATAAAAAAGATGAAATATGGCCATTTGCAACAACATGGTTGAATCTTGAGGGTATTATGCTAAGTGAAAGAAGTCATAGAAAAGGACAAAATCTGTATTTCACTCATATGTGGAATATAAAACAAAAAAAGTTACAAATGAACTAACAAGAACAAATTCATAGATACAGATAACAGAATGGAGTTGCCAGAGGGGAAGGGAGATAGGAGAGGGAGAAATGCATAAATATATGGTAACAGATGGAAACTATACTTTTGGTGGTGAGCACACAATAGAGTATACAGATATTGAATTATAATGTATACCTGAAATTTATATAATCTTATTAACTAATCTTACCTCAATAAAAATTAAAAAGCCCTCTCGAACAACAAGATTCGATGCGCTTTTGGGTTGTTAAGCACATGGAGGTATGGGGAGATTGGCACACCCAGAGAGAACATGAAAGCTCCATGCCCCTTCCCACATACTTTACTCTATGCACTTCTTCATTTGGCTGTTTATCTGTATCCTTTATAATACCCTTTATAATAAACACATAAATGTAAGTAAATCTTTATAATAAACAGGTTAATGTAAGTAAATGTTTGAGTTCTGTAAGCCCCTCTAGCAAATTAATCAAATCTCAAGAGGGGGGTGTGGAAACCTCCATTTATAGCCAGTTGGTCAAAAGAGCAGGTAACAATCTGGACTTATGATTGGCATCTGAAGGGAGGGGGGCAATCTTGTGGAATGGAGCCCTTAAACCTATGGGTTCTGACACTAGTGTCAGAATTGAATTAAATTGTAAGACACCCAGTCAGCATCCACTGAGAACTACAGAATTGCTTGGAGGCATGGAAAAACCCTGCAATATTATGCAATCATTTAATCAAAGCTTACAAAAACATTTTTTAACATGGAGGAAATGTTCTTGATGAAATGTTAGATAACATAGATACAGAACATCAGATAGTATGTGGAATACAGTACTTATAAAAGAAACTACAGGACAATAAAGTAAAAAAATAGTTTTCATTATCACTCTTGGATATTAGACAAGGTTTTGATGAATTTAATTCATTTTATTTTTGACTTCATAATTTCTATAGAAATCTCAATGATAATGTGTTAATTTTGTTATTGAAGGGGAAGTATTTATTTGTGGAAGGCCAATAAGAACTCCCACCCGTACTTCAAAGTCCATCTTAACATCCACCTCTTCCAAGTATGCTTCCAGATTTACTGAATGTAATTTCTACCCCCTTAGAACTCTTATATTATTGCTTTATTACTCGTATGCGGTATTTGCCTTGTTCCAGAATATATGTCATTTTAACTCATGTATTTTCTTTCTCTCCATGACTTGGTTATATCTTTGGCCCCTACAAAGATATAATCACTAGATGAACACCGAATTATACAACTATACACACATGCAGACACACACATACAAATGATAGGGAGAAAAAGGATGATAACTATGAAGAAGGAGAAAGAAACAGGAGAGAAGAGTCTTTGCAACTCAGAGATTTCCAGAGAAACTCTACAGACAGTGCTTCAGACAGAACAGAGTATGTTGCTGTTCTGTTTCTCAATCCACATCTAAGACCACCAAGTAAGTGCCAGACCCTTTCTGGGAAACTCTTTGCTACTTCAGTTTGTCACTCAGGACTGCAGGATGGGCTGGGAGGAAAATAAGATGACCGAGCCAACACTAGACATGCTCAGTTAGAAAAAGTCCCCAGGCTCACTGGCCTTGTTATTAAGGCCATCCAACCTTCACCTGTACTCACTAACCAATCAGCAAGTCCTTACTGAATGCCTATTATGTACATAATACTGCTTTGGGGAATAAGAATGTATAATGCAAGGAGTTTACAATCTAACTGAGGAATCGCAAAATACACATACATATTGAGGGAACCAGAATTTCCCACCCCAAAATATGCCTTTGTGATACTGATTATTTTAAGCTTTTTTTTTTCTTTAAGAAACAAAAGACTCAAAGAACTTTGATCCTTCCCCTTACCTGCCTGAAGGCATTCAGATATAAAAACTTGCTTCAGGAAGGGAGCCTTAGCATATTCACCTTAGCAGGTATAAATTAAGTGTGGCAGACAGGGAGACTCTGAGCAAATCTGTTTGTTAGATTTGTGTCTCTCCGTGTCCCCTTGTTCCTGGGTGGCCCAGCAAGAATTTGTTTATTTTCAGCCCCAACAATATGCACACATACTACATTCACCCATATACATGCATACACCTATATATTTGTGCTTCCATACATTTAAAAGTGACTCACAACAAGGCAATGTAACAAGAATCCAATTAATTGCTTCTTACAAGAGATGGGGATTAAACTAGAACTTGAAAAATTTGAAAGTCAATGGTAATTAGCCTATTGCATATTCTTTTACCATCAAGTAGAATAAAAGCAAATAATTTTTCCCAATCCTAGCAAGGATAAAGAATGTCAAGTAATGTTCCCCTCTGAAGGATTCCTGTCCAGAATGCAGTGGCAGGGAGAGTCCTTTGAGGCTTGAGCTGCCTCAGGTAAAGACACCTTCTGAGGTGGCATCTGCTTCATGCATCACCACATGGAGCCATGAACAGCAGTGATTCTACAAGCTTCCTGGACATAATGATCTAATCTAATCAGGCATGATTTAAAGAAAAATTATGGAATTTTACCCTTAACTCTTGGTTACAGCAAAGTGATGCACAGTCCCAGGGTACGGACACGGACTTAGTGTGCAAATGATTCAGCTTCCTGGAATAAACCTGAAGGGCCCATGGTGTCCTAAAATAAAGCAGTGAATGAAAAAATTGAATCACTTTTATTGTCATAACCACCAACTCTTTTCTAAGGTGTAGATATGCAAATAGCACCCCCTGAGTTTTCCTCTTATTTTACCAGCGTAGACACAGCAAAACTTAAGTTCTAAAAATAGCAACTATAAAAAGTCACTTTTGAGGCAACCAGGGAGTTCTGAATACAGGAGACTGGGTGCCGATACCAAAGGATTATTATTACCATTCAGGTACCTGGATAGCATTGTAGTGATCTAGAAAAAAAGTATACTTTTTAGAACAGGCATATACACACAAAGATGTAGGGATTAAAAAAAAAACAACATATCTTGAATTTCTTTTAAATACAGTAAAAAGAAGAGAATGAGTGGGAGGGGGAAGAAGATAAAAGGAATAAAGGAAGAAAGGGAGAGAGGGAAGGAGAGAGAGATGAAGACAATTTGGTAAAATCTTGATAAATATTGAATCTGGATGAAAATTTTTATAGGGGTTCCATTACAGTATTCTTTCTACATTGGTGTATTTTGAAATTTTCATGATAAAAGGAATTTTTAAAAATAAAAAAATCAAACCCCTTAACACAAATGACAATAATAAAAACTACTTATATTTTTACTCAGTGAAAATTAATAAAGTATCTTTCTATATTTTGTTTTTGCTTCGTGAGAATTCTCTGAATACAAGACATAGAAACAACCTAAGTTTCCATCAGTGGATGAATGGATAAAGATGTGATATGTATATATAATTCAATCCATGAGAAAAGAATCCTGTCATTTGCAACAACATGGATGCATCTAGAGGACATTATGCTAAATGAAATTAGCCAGAGACAAAAACAAAGTATTCTGTGAAATGATTATTTTTATTTTTGCTAATAGTAGTAGCAGTAATAGTCACCTTATTTTACAGTTGGGAAACTGAAGCTTGGAATGATGATGAGCCTTGCTCAGTGTCACGTGACAAGAATACGGGCGAAGTTCTCGCTATGAG